CGGTATCCGGATTTATTCGGATGCGGGCTCGGACGGTTTCGTTTGAAACACACCCGACGGCTTGCACTCCTCTGTCGGGTGGTCCGAGTACAGGAGCCTGCGTAAGACCTCGCGCGAGCTAACCCTCGGCGAGTGGGATCCACCACGGGATGGATCTCTCCGTGCGCAGCTCACTCCCAACGACCAAGTGCTGGTGCCAACTCCCACGCATTCAGGCGTAGCACTACGTATGCGAAGTCTTTGAGTTAGTTTTTGCTAATTTGGTTTCAACGCGAACACGTTTGATTGATAATTTGACCGGTATCGCCTGCGGTTATTGAGTCACGGCGTATCCTGAAGCAATTGGGAACAGAATGCCCCGTCGCACATACTACCAAGCAACAAGCTACATCACGTTGGCCATCAATAGCCGTTCGTTCTACATGACTACAGTAGCGATTGGGGCCGCTCATTTATGGGGGACGCGCTTCTTGTCGTCCAGGTTGCATCTGTAGATCGTCATCGTCGGCTTTTGAGAATTCGTCCCAGTGTGTGCCACGCTTCTCGACGACTGGGACGACGGGCTCCATGCCAACATGCGTCACGGCCGCAAGACTTGCTCCGCTTGTGACTGCTTCGCCAACACGTCAGTTTAGTTCGTTCAGATGTAATACGAAGGACCAATGCTCTTGTTGGCCATTATCAGGCGGCCCGCGACAGAGAGTACGCCTTTGTATACGTGGCCCTTTTTCCGCCGTTTGACGCCTTTCCGACAGAGTTAATCGCCTGAACATCAAAATACGCGAATCCATTTCGCCGGATATCCCTCGAATACGATGTGACCACGCGCGTTGGTCCATCTTGATTGATACGCTGCTTGCGCCCTCGTAGGTTATCCATTCGCTACCGACGCCCCTTCACGACGGCACTAGACGCAAGTACCCACTGCGTTGTACCGGTACGAATGTGTCCACGGAAAGGTCTGCAAGATGGCATTTAGGGTGAGCTTGGGGGTGAGTTTCCACGCGGGTCACGCCATGCGCGTGATTGGTTTAAAATATACGAAATACGGTGCTTGGCGACCAATCCAAATTTTGTATTCAACAGCATTATAGCCAATGGCATGCGTGCTCGAATTCCCCTACACTGGGTCGCTTGTAATTGGCGCAAAGTCGGGATTTTCTGAGCATGGAGGTCAACTTCAGCCTCGGCTTCAAGAGCCCGTGCTTCTTCACGATGCTCAACCTCGCCGGGTACCAGATCCCTCTCCTCGAGCGCAGCGTCGTCGAGTGGTGCGAGCGCATCGTCGCCGTGCTCAACAAGGAGCGCTCCGAGGGCACGCTGGACGCCATTGTGCATGCGCAGCTCGACTCGACGAGGCGCCCGCTCTTCGCCGTCAAGATGGTCTCGAGCTTTACCAACGATGGCACGTCGTCGCCGCGCATCATGCTCGGGTCGGAGCAAGGCGCCGCGGTCACGCTCACGCACGAGATCGCCGTCGCCCTCGTCGACGCCATGATGAGCGCCGAAGCGCCGATTAGCGCGAAAGACCTCGCGACGACCAAGCGCCACATTGCAGAGCTTCAGAAGCGCATTGCCAAGGCCGCACCCAACGACAAGGTGTACGCGATGATTGCAGAGCGTAAGTACAGCGAGACCCGAGCGAAACTACATCCGTCAACATGATGCGTCGTCTTGCTTCCCACTCGATGGCATCCCGACAGCTTTGCCGATTATCTACACGTTGATGCGTACCTGGTCACGGTCAACCGCACACTCTGATGTGCATCCTTCCGCAGACAAGACTGACACATGCAACCCCATACATGTAAGCATCCATGCTTGCATGTACCAGTCCCTTCCAGTCGCTGACGCCGTTCGCGATGACCGGTCCTGGGTACCTGGTAACTATACCCCTGGGCCGGTCCATCAGAACCAGTTCAGTTGGCATGCATTCCTCGTTATACGCGTATATATATAGTGTCTCTGTGTCTACCATGGCTCTAAATAGACGCCATTTGGCTTGAACTGTGTGCTACGATGTGGGGCTTTGCATCGGCGACGCCCGTCGACATCGTCGCCGAGGGCTTCCTTTCCTACTCGACTCCGCAGTACGACCTGCTTGTACCTTGTGCTGCATTTCACAGGTGCGCTAGGCGTCCAACGCCGACGGCGCGCTGGTGTGTACTGGATGGTGCGCGCCATACGCTCACCAAGTACGAGAGTGCCAAGCGGTCTCGATTGCGTGGCGGGTCCATCGAGATCATTGACGCGCGTATCGTTGAGGCTTCTGAGAGTGCCACGTCATTCACTTTGCACTTGAAGACACCATACCACGGTAGGACGGTGCTTACATTCACCGCCGACTCTATGGAGGACCGCGCCCGCTGGGTCGACGCGCTCACCCGCAGTTCGCATGGGCTTGCGTCCGGCATCTCCAAGCGCATGGCCCACCGCGGTGTCTTGAACGGGCAGTATGTGCTCGTGCGGGAGCTTGGCCGCGGCGCGTCCGGTATCGTGTACCTTTACACGTGGCACGGCAAGCCCTGCGCCGTGAAGCGGCTTGCAGCGTCGCACAAGCGGGGGCAGCCGCCGGGCACGTTGCCCGACGACGCGCGGCGCGAGATTGCAATTTTGCGCAAAGTGAGCAACCTTCCGCACGTCGTGTCCCTCTACGACGTCATCCACGACAGCGCCAATGACTGCGTGTACTTGGTCATGGAATTCCTTGGCGGCGGCCCGATCGCGTCGTACGACAAAACCACGCAGCGCTTCCACACCAAACACATCATGGGCGAAGGCGACTTGAAGCGGCTCTTGCGCTGTGCGTCCGTCGGACTCAAGTACCTCCACGCCAATCACCTCGTGCACCGCGACATCAAGCCCGACAATCTCCTCTTGACGGACGACGGCCGCGAGTGCAAGCTGGCGGACCTTGGTGTCGCACACTTCTTTCCACCACCCACGTCGGTGCAAGGCGACGTATCGACGGAGGGCGACGACGATGACAAGGCCGCGGCGGGGTCTGCACCCGGCATGCTCATCAACACCAAAGGTTCGTCAAGCGATGTTGGCCTCCTTTTGAAAAGCAAATGGACTAGGGACGTACGAGTTCATGTCGCCCGAAGCTCTCTCGGGCGAAGAGTATTGCGGCTACGCGGCCGACATTTGGGCCCTCGGCGTCACCTTGTATGCGCTCGCCGTGGGGCAACTTCCATTCCAAGCACCGAGCATCCTTGCGCTCTTTGATGTGATTGCGACTGCACCGTTGACGTTTCCCGTGCGTGCATCGCTGTACATTGCGTGGTGATAAAGGGGTCGAGCGTAGACAGCCAACGCCATGTCGCCATCGCTCACCGACTTGATCACGCGCATGTTGGCGAAAGACGTCGCGCAGCGCATGACCTTGGACGACGTCCTTCTGCACCCGTGGCTCTCGACCGGCGCGACAAAGCAGTACCTCCACCAATCCACCGTGGCCCTCGGCGAGGTCCGCTGCGATCCTCCGTCGTATACTCTACTTCATGCACTAGGTGAGCATCGATGCTGCCGACATGTATGGCGCGGTCTCCCCGCTGCAGCTCAAATTCAATCAACTTCGGGAGAGCGCGACTGCATCCGAGGACCTCGCCCTATGGAGCGTTCTATCGCCAGCGACATCCTCTGCGAAAGCCCATTCTACGAGCCCGTACACGCCGAGCCCCATTGACATTGCCAACGTGCCGTTGCCGCCGCGGCTTCGCGTTGATATTGCGTGGCTGGCGCAGCAGGTGCACTTTGCATGGTGTACGACCAAGACGCTCGAGGGGTGGCGCGCAGGGCCCGAACGAAACGAAGACGAGAAGATCCACCCGCTCCTCGTGCCATACCAGCACCTCGACGACGCTGCGAGAACTCGGAATTTGGCGTCGGTCACGGCCTCGGTGCAGTGCATATTGGCCCTCGGGTAGGATATGGCACTGTTCGATACGTTGCGCTCATATGGAGTCTTAAAGCTATGCGTTGCGAGCACAAAAGACATCGGCGCCAGCGCGCTTGTTTCCGCTATCGCTCGAGCGCATCTCGCTCTCTGGCGACTTGGTCATTCTCGGTGACCTCCTCGCAGAGAACGACCACGAGGTGTGGGCCCACGAGTACATGGCGCTCGGGTGGAAGGTCGCTCTCGCCAACACATTCTCTTGATGAAACTCATCTCGTATGATTGTCTAGTATGGCGCGACGTATGACCCAGAGCGCAAGACGCACCCGTCGCTTGTGCCCTTTCCTGAGCTGCCGGCTAGTCAGCGCGAGGCGACTCGCAACGCGGCGCTCGTTGTCATCAAGAGCCTCGTCGCGCTTCAGTACTCGATCCAGCACAACCACGCCAAGTACAACCACGAGTCGTCCAATCAGCACGTCGAGCACGTGCGCTAAGGCAAGGACGCCTTGTATCAATAATCTACGAAAACGCACCGAGTAACCCTAGCCCGTTTCTGGAATCCGATCCCAGATTTGCAGTGTTCGCAGTGTTTGGATGATGTCTCTTATGTGTTAAATAGAAGAGGGGTTTAGATTAGCCCCGATTTCAGGCCAATGCCCATGCGGATGCCTTGCGACAGCTTTCGGTTGTTGTTTTCAACGGCCTCAGCGTACGAGATATTGGTGTCGATCGTAATGCTGGGCTTCACCTCGGACTTGGCGTTCGCGAGCAGCTGGAGCACAGCGGGAAACGACGGCCGCTCGGCCGGGTCGGGGTGCCAGCACGATTTCATGAGCGAGTGCAGTACTTCGGGAATGTGCACGCAGAGTGGCGGGCGCAAGTTCTTGTGCACCACCATGTACGGCAAGTTGATCGGGTCCTGGTCCAGATACGGTTTCTTGAAGCAAAAGAGCTCCCTAACCACTCGCGCATAAGATCGCTTTCTCTTGCAGAACGGTCGCACCACAAGACAATGCCGTACGAGTAGACGTCGATCTTTTCCGAGTACACCTCGCCGCGGTAGACCTCGGGCGCGACCCAGCGCGGGGTGCCACACACCGTATTGGCAATCGCGTCCTTCTCGAGCGACCGTGAGAGCCCAAAGTCCGAAAGTTTGCAGCGGAAGAGCTCGGTAATGAGCAAGTTTTCGGCCTACGCAGTGCATATCATCATCGTGTACAGAGTTGATTCATACCTTGATGTCGCGATGCAAGATGATGGGTTCGAGCGAGTGCAAGTAGCCGCATGCGTTCGCGCAGTCGGCAGCAATGTCGAGCACGAGGCCCCACGTGGCGCGGACCTTCTTGGACTCGACGAGCTTGAGCAGGTCGAGCACCTACACGACTGGCAGGTCGATACTAGTATATGCTTGCCGCGACGTACCGAGCCTTCGCAGAGCTCGGTAATCAAACAGTAGTTGGGGTACTCTTGGACAGCGCCGAGAAAGTGCACAATGTTGGGATGCACGAGCAGCGACAAGATGTCGACTTCCTGTTCAAAGTCGTCGAGGTCGCTCGCCTTGTCGCCGTCTTCGCGGAGGTAGATTTTCTTGACGGCGACGCGCTTGCCCTTGACGTACGCCTCGTACACGACGCCAAAGTTGCCCGCACCCAGCGTTGACTTGACGTCAATCTCGTGAAAGGGCACGCTGAGACCGAAGAAGACTTCGCTGAGGTTGCGCGACTCGGTGATGACGTCGTCGCCCTTCTTTTTAACGCGGACGCGCGCCGAGTTGGCGAGTGTGCCGGCCTTGCTCGCGTGCACAAACTTGTGCGTGTCGACCGAGATGCCCTGTGGCTCTTGCAGAATCGACGCGCCGCAGCCCATCGCTCGAGAATGGCTTATATGTTTAGCCCACGCACTCTCGCGAAACGCTGGCGTTGAAAACGACCGAGAGACATTTCTACGAGCAACACCAATGCATGTGCCTTACAAGTATGTATAAAATGCCAGGTGAAGAGGAAGGAATTGAATTTGCCATGCAGATACGCACTTGTATACGTCGAGGCGTGGCGTTTGCAGTGCGCCACGAGCTCATCTACGGTCCAAACACAAACATGTGTTCCAGGACATGGACGGTCTGGTCGACTGCCGCGCCAAGACGACAAGCACTGGGATGTAAATCTCAAACTTGCTTTGCGCTCTGCTCAGTACCAAACTGTGCGTGCATCGAACACTGGAAAGCTACGTGCTTATGGTCGCTGACAAGATACAAGGGTACCCTTGCGAGGAAGTAGGTAGTGTTACCTCGAATCTCTTGTCCATACCCGGGATTCGTCCACCTTGCAACGCTGTCCAACCACGAAGGAGAGACTCGCGTCGCCAACCATGGCACCACGCCAACAGACAACTTGTGTGCGCGACTAGCAAGTGTGTAGCCCTTCACGCAGGACACGACGACCGATCCAGCGAGGGACCGACCAGCTCACACATCGATTCTTGGTCATCGCCTGTAGCGTTGCAGCATGTTTCTGTTTGACAGCAATATCAAGACTATACATATCCAATATTAATGACCTTGGCAATATGTACACGTTGTCGTGGACGTGATGTTGATGGCGGATCGCCGACGCGACGGCGTCATCGCAGCACTCGCGCGAATCTCGAAAATCGCCGCTGTAATTGAAACGCGTATCTTTTTGACCAATCAGAATCCATCATCGCGCAACGCCCGTTTGCATAGTGCAACGACCGACGTCATGGGAAGGTCGCCGCGACGCATGCCAAGCCCACCGCTGCTTGAGGAAGAGCAGCGCCTGCCATCGCCAACGCTGCTCAAGCGGCCGAGCGTCGAGACGCGCAGCCCGCAGCGACGCAAGTCCGTGCAGCGCTCGGCCGTGGACACGCCGCGCAGCCAGTGCGCGCTGGACCTCGCCGAAGTCTCGGCCGAGGTGTGGCTCATCACGACGCTGGCCGCCAAGCTCCTCTGGGCGCTGCGCGTCTCGTACAAGTGGATCGCGATGTTTGTGAAGCTCGTCACGTTCTCGTGCCTTCTTGCGCCCGCGTTTTTGCGCATCTTGTACTTTTGGCTCTTTGACGTGCGCGTCCACAAGAACATTCGGTACGGCTGCCAAGCCCGCAACCTCCTCGACATCTACATGGTACCCGAGCCCAAGGTACCGGTCACATCCATAGTACGTGCACGCGCTCAGTTGGCGTAGGCCAAGATGCCGGTCGTCGTCTTCTTATCAGGCGGCGCGTGGATCATCGGCTACAAGGCGTGGGGCGCGCTCATGGGCCGTGTGCTCTCGTCGTATGGCATCCTTGTCGTGACGCCCGACTACCGCAACTTCCCGCAGGGCATCGTGCCCGACATGATGGCCGACATCAACACGGCGATTGCGTACGTCTTTGAGAACATCCATCTCTTTGGCGGTGGTACGTGCATCTGCGGATGCTCCAGACGAGGTTATAGCGATCGTTGGTGCGTAGACCCGGATAACATTACGGTCGTGGGCCAGTCGGCGGGCGCGCATATTGGCGCGCTCGTGCTGCTCGAGAGCATCGAGCGCCCAGGCTCTGCAGCGTGGTCGCCGTCGCGCCTCCGCAACTTTATCGGGATTTCTGGTCCGTACAACATTAAGGAATCCATCGAGCGCTTCCACGAGCATGGCCTCGACCGCCGCGTCCTCGCACGCATCATGGCCAACGACATTGCGCACCACTCGCCCACCGACCGCGTCGACCGGTGCGCTGAAAGCCCTTTGCCCGTGCGTTGAAAGCGATGGCATGTCTAGGCTGCCGCCACAGGCCGCGGCGCAGCTGCCAGTCGTCCACCTCTTCCACGGAACGGCAGACACGACCGTGTGCTGGAAGTCGACCCGAAAGTTTGCCCACGTCCTCACCGAGGCCGGTGCGACCGTGCACGTCAAGTATTACGCCAACAAGACGCACACGGACCCTATCATTGAGGTGCCTGTCATCTCAGATGCAAGGAAACGACGCGGCGTAGGACCCGATCGAAGGCGACGACCCGCTTCTGAACGATGTCATCGGCATCATCCGCGACTCGAGCCCACCGTACTCGCCCAAGCTCTCGACCAACTTCCAGCCGCCGCAACGGCTGTGCCCCAGCTTTCTCGTGCGGTGCGCGCGCGGCGTCAATCCGTTCTAGCGCCCCGCGAAATGAGTGGTATGGAGAAACAGCCTAAGAAGCACACTGCGTGCATGCAACGACATTCTGGTTCCAACGCGACTGAGAATCGCAGACACGTCCACAGCACCATCTGGGCGACGACACGCTCTGGTGCACCTTCATCGAGGCAGCGTAGGTCATCGAGTAAGCGTCTCGGGCAATCGCAAGTGATTGGAATGGCTGCGTCATCGCAGGTCGCCGAGGTAGTCGTGGATAAGATCTTGGAGTTGAGTGTGCTGGCAGCTTGCCACGAGTCTGCCGGATACGACATTTCGTTGGCTATCCGGATTCCGCCAGCGGCTGTTTTTTTAAATTCGCGACAGCGCACGTGGGTTTGTATGGCTCTTGGCGCCTCAGGGAATAAAAAGACATGCGTATGCGGACGATTTTTATCCGGAGGCTTCAACCCACCAGTTCAAGCCGTTGGCAACATGCATGGCCCCCCACCCCCATTTTTTGGGACTTGTCTTCAACGTGCTCCGGCTGTCGAAGAAGGGGTCGTCTTCGTCGCCTTGCCTTCCTCTCTGATTTCTTTTGCTTGCCGAAGAATGAGGGAGGATGGAAGATGAGGAGGAAGAGGAAGAGGATGATGATGGCATGGTTCTCCTCCATCGCGTGTGTCGTTGCCGTTGTACACAGTACATCGTGTAGGGAGGAGCAGCACGCAATGCAATCGCGCTCCTTTCATCTCGCCCGGTACCCTTCGTCATGGGTTGAAGCGCGACACTCCTGGTGCGTGGGCCGCTTCAAAGACGCGACGGTCTCGTTGCTCGATCACCTGCTTGGGGCAATCGAGTCAGTTGCGAGCATACCGTAGGGTCGCGTGTGCTGGGTGTTTTCAATGGGTCCCTGTTCTTTCTTTTTTAGGGGGCCCTATCCTGACCGCGGGTGGCAAATTAACGCCTTACAAACGCGCTGTCATTTTTATCATGTTTGGCGCGCGCACGATCCCAGACTCGGGCGGAGTGGGACAGGTCGGAAGCCAGAAAGGGACGGGGGACATGGGCATTTAAAGGTGTCGGACGGGGACCGGCGTCACCGCGCCGAACCAGTAGCCAATCAGCGCGCGCCAAGCAGGATTGGGACCGCAAACCTGTGGTGCGCATGTTGGGCGGGCCGCAAATTCGAAGATTTTATGCATTTAATTAAAATAATACACTGGATTGGGTCGGTGCAATATTCAAAGAAGTGCGATGAGCGCGATGAGGAGCATGGAAGAGGACGACGTCTTGCTGGCGCCGCTCCATGAAGACGACGACCTGCAGGAAGACGAGGATGACGATATGCTCGGCGAAGATGACGACGACGACTTGATGCTGGACGATGACGATGGCGGCTGGAGCGTCGACCTCGACGACCTCGACGACGTCGGCAGCCCCACGAGCGTCGCGACGCCCGACGCGTATGGCTACGAAGAGCTGCTCTCGCGCGTCAACCTCTCGAGCGAGGAAGACGCGCCGTTCACGTTTCTGCTGCCAACGAGCTGCGACGACAGCATGGCGACGATCGACGAGAGCGCGCCGCCGAGCGAGTGCGGCAGCATTGGCGGCGACGAAACCGACTCGGACGACGTCGTGTGCTGGGGCGAGAACGAAGCGGATGAAAAAGAGTACCAAGACATTGACCACCGCGTGATTTGCGACAAGCAAAACCGGTTTTGGGCGCCGGCCGACGAGACCAGCGCCAGCAGTCCGAGCAGCGACGCCAAGCACATGACGTCGATGGTTGCGCCGCTGCCATCGACCAACGTGACCGAGTCAGGACGCATGGTCAACCGCATTCTGGCGTCGTGCCTCAAGAAGCGCAAGCTCCACGTGCCGTACAAGCACCAAGTGAAGCTCGTCAACTTTACACCGGTTGTCGCCAAGACGACGCCGACGCTGCTCTCGTCGACCAAGGCGATCATGGCGCCGGTCCGGACGCTGCCGTCAACGATTGCCGTCTCGTCGTCCTCTTCGTACAGTACAAGCAAAGCGCCGGACGAAGCGAGCAAGTCGGTCGAGACGGCGCCGTTGCCGCCGTTCATTGCGATGCCTGCTAACCACACACCGACGATGAGCAAGGCACGGGACAAGGATCACGTCATGCAGCCGAACGAAGACCGCAAGAAGATTGAGACCTCGACGCCGAAGAAGCTGCCGACACTGCCCGTGCTCGGTGTCACTGCGCCGCATTTGACCAAGAAGGTCGCCCAAGAGAAACGCAAGCACGCGATGATGGCGACCGGCCTCACGCTGGCGTCGTTTAAGGTGACGCCAATGCCGCTGACGCCGTCGGCCGACGACTCGGACGTTGACATGATGGCAATCGACCAAGAACTTCTGGACCTTTGCAAGTCGATCACGGACACGACGTCGCGCATCTTGCGGCCAAAAGTCGACTTTTGCCGCTGCCGGACCTCGGCTGCATGCCTCAGGACCTGCGCGACCTCAAGCTCAAGATTGAGGCAACCGAAGTCAAAGTCGAGGGCACCAAGCATCGGCACCGCAAGGGCGGGCCGTGTCCGCGATGCCAAGTGCAGAACCAGCTCCGGGCGGCCAAGCGAGGTGCGTTCTCTCTACCAATCTACCAGGTTCGATAGGCTCAATGTGCTCATCATAGCGCTGCTCTGTCGCATGAAACGCTACAAGTAATCGCACCTCTAATCTTATGGACACGAACAAATTTTCTAATTACTTGATAATCTTGGCGTCGACGAGCTTGAGGCGCGCGCACCGCCGCTTGAGCTTGGACTCGGTCCACTGCTCGTTGTTGATCTTGATGTCGCGGGCCATCGCAGCGTAGTTGTCCCCAAACTTGGCGAGGAGCGGGCGCAAGTACGCGATCTCCATCTCCGACATGTGGTTCTCGGCCTTCTTGTAGTTGCGCTCGTCGTTGAGGTTGAGAATGTCCGAGTCGGGCACGTCGAAGAGCTCTTCCGGGTCAATGAGGTCTTCAGTGCACGACCGGATCTGCGCGATCGCGTTCGGGTCGCGGTTGAGGCCAATCTTTTCGTAGTTTTGCTTCGTCGTGAGCTTGTGGTCCCACACCTTCTTGATCTCGCCGTCGCCGACGAACTTGGTCTTGTACTTGCGGATCGGCTTGGACTTGCGAGAGACCTTGACCTTGCCTTTGCCAGGACGATTCCGCGCGTGCACCATCGTTTCTACTTGTGGCAACTCGGTGCAAAGCACGAAAGCCGATTGGCCCTGATCCAACCAAACTCAACCGGATGCGCATCCGGATAACGGACTATCCGGAGAACGGGTTGACACGCATCACGTGGCGGCGCCTCCATCTTGGCCACGCGGGCGTGCAAGGGAATGGTATAAGAAGCTCCTAAAAAGCCATAAGATAAGAGCCATCGATGCGGTTGAAAGTGCTTGCGATCGACTAGAGTATGCAGCAAAAGCTGGAGGTTCTGGCCGATGATTGCGAGAGAGAGCTACCTTGTTGTCCAGGTGCTGAAGACAACCTGCGAAGAAGGGATCGCACGTGCGTTTAGTATGGTCTTGGGTTCCGAAGGATCTTGAGGGCCGAGCTTGCGTCGTCCGATGGATGAGCTCCACGACGGGTCCTGTACGTCGCTCCAGACAGTGGTGTGCCATCATTTGGACATCATTTTAGGTCGTGCAAGCAGCATTCATTCGTGTTACCCAGTGCCATGAAATAAGACGACAAAGATATCTCCAGGGCAAAGCATTGGCTACGAGAACCTAGTCCTCATCGAGCATGATTTGCGGGAACGGCTCAAAGTACGCGGCCTCGAGCTCCATTTGAACCCAGTCCCACTTCTTACCCTTGGCCTTGGCGGTCGAGAAGAGCGCGTCCATCTCGGGGCCACTCAGGCTGCTCGATGGCTCGTTCAGCGATCGCAGCGGCTTGGTGAGGCCGTGCGAGAGGTCCTTCCGGATCTGGTTGACGGTTGCCATGACCGATCGGATCGGAAGCGCAACGCCTTCAGGCAGCAAGTAGTTGTGGCCGTCGACCTTGAGCGCGACGCAGAGAAGCCCCGTCTTGTCCATGAGGAACCACACGCTGCGTTTGGCCGAGAGGAGCATCACTACAGCAGACGACCATGAGTCCACTTTGCCACAGTCGTTAGAAATAGCGTGTACGGATCGCGAGGTAGCTGTCGACCGCGGGGGGCAGGAGTGTGCACTTGCCGCCGAGCATCATCGATCCATCGCCCGTCAAGAGCTGCTCGGAGAAGATACCGTGCACTTGGTTGTCCTTGTTGAGATACTTGAAGGGGAGACCCATCGGATTGCGGCCCGAGCAATTGACCTTGATACCCGACTTGAGCTGCTTCCACGCAATCAAACTGCAGCCCGCGACTTGGCGTGGGGGCATGCGGAGGCGAATCGAGTCAATGGATCCGGAGCTCGGCTCCCAGAGCGGCAAGGTCGACACATCGATCGGGAACGATCGGTCGCGCATGAAGTGCAGCAGCGAGAGACCAAACGGAAGGCCGTTAAAGCTTGGCGCCACGTCCACATTGTCGTCGTCGTCGTCGTCGTTGGTTGTCGTCGTCGTCTTAGCAAAGAGGATCGTGAGGCTCTTCTGGTCGACCTTGAGTGAGTGGATCTCGCTCGCTGCGTCACGTGCGATGGGTGCTAGCGTGCGCACCAAGTCGTCCAAAGGCACGCCCTTGACCCACTTGCTCTCTTCGTCGAGCGTGAGCGTGGCGTGGACCGGTTCCTGGTTGGTTCTCGGCAATCCTTTCTTGTTTGCTTTCGCGCCCGGTTGGGGCAAGGTCCCCGCCACGAGGCTGTCCGTATAGTTGAGCAGTAAGACGAGACGGAGCATCGGCACGGGCGTGTGCTCGTGCTTCCAGTCGGGGCAAAAGCCCTTGTTGCAGAACTTCTCGAGCGCCATGACCGAGCGCAACACCGAGGGTTGCAAGGCGCGCGAGTGGGCAAAGTCTTGGCGCTTGGCGAGGCGCACAAAGCGGAGGCACACGTCGCCCATGAGCACACACATTGTCTGGAAGCGGCGCGTCGCAATCGCGTGCTTGCGCAGCAAATGCATCACCGCGCCCTTCGACTTGAGCTTCAAGCACCGCGTGACAAGGCGCCACATGGCCAGCGGCTCGCTCCACAGCGGCTGGTCGTCGCTCTCGTCCATCTGCAGCGAGAGTTTGCCCTACATCGTACACCCATCGTACCTATGTCACATACAAGCATCGAGCAGTCTACCTCGAGCGCATGCTTCATCTCAGCCATGTACTTGCCAGCGCTCGTAATGTGGAAGCGGGACGGCGCCACGTGCAAATCGGGCGACGCGAGGATGCTCGCGAGGATGATCACGTCGACGAGACCGTGCTGCATGCCGAGGTCGTAGGCGCTGAGGCCAAACATGAGGAGGCGGCAGAGACGCACGTCGAGCGGAAAATTCGTGCAAAAGACGCCAAACGGCGTGATCGCGTTCGTGGTTGTTTCGTTGGCTTCCGTGACGGCTGCCATCTCGTGCAGCACCTTGTAGGCGCCGGTGATGTTGTTGAGGTTCGGGACGCTCATTGCGTTTTTGAGGAGGTTCGTCGGCGTGTCAATGTGGGCGAGCTGCGCCTTGAGCTGGAGCACAATCTTGTCGAGCGGCTTCCGGAGCAGCTCGGGCGTCGTGTACGCGGCCATGCACTCGTTCATAAACGACTTGGTAAACAAGTGGTACGCCGTACCCGGGCGAATGCGACCCGCGCGGCCTACGCGCAAAGATAGCTTTAGGATTTTTAAAAAAACACGAGGAAAACCGACCCGAGCGCTGCTTGACCGACGCCTGCGAGCACCACGAACGGACAAGGACTTCCATGTGGCCCGTCGTCGGCATCATGATTTGCTTTCCATGCCAGAGTTGATAATGTGCGTCACATCCGGGATCGTCACACTGCTCTCGGCAATGTTGGTCGAGAGGATGATCTTGACCTTGCCCTCGACCGGCTACACAAAGCAAACGGCTCAGATCGCTTGTAGAGTCTGTGTGCACGTACGGCAAAGGCCTTTTCTTGGTCCTCAATGTCGAGCTCGCTGTGCAGCACGAATAGCTGAATGTCGCGCATCTTCTCGAGCTGCTCATGGACATACTGAATGTCCGAGATGCCCGGGAGAAAGATGAGGATGCACGACGGGTCGACGACGGTCTTGGTGATGTGCAGCGCGAGGGCGACGCAGAGATCGAGCTGCATCGACACGACTTGCGTAATCTTTTTGCCCATGATTTCGGGATCCAAGTCGGATTTCTTCCAGCCCGCAAGCTGCGTCGTGAGCTTCTTGGCCAGCGCGGTGATCTCGGCGACGCCAGAAATGTGCTTATGGACCTCGTCCATGTAGATCGCCGTCACGTCATAGAGCGCCGAGCCGACAAACAGCGGCTTCTTCCACGCGAGCGGCGAGGGGAGGCCGTCCTTAAAGTATTTGAAAAAGATAGCCGCATCCATGGTGGCCGACATGATAATGAGCTTGAGGTTGGGCCAGAGGTGCCAGTTGGTCTTGATCATGAGCAAGAGCAGGTCCATGTCCATGCTGCGCTCGTGGGCTTCGTCGAGCACGAGGTGCGTCACCTGCGCGATCGACTCGGGCGAGTGGATAATGCGCTCGAGCATGTAGCCCGTGGTGGCGTACGTGATGCGCGTCGCCTTCGAGTCGCGCTGGAACTGCCCGACACGGTACCCGATCGTGTTGCCGACCTCTTCGCCCCGCATCTTGGCGACGGTCGACGCCAGCGTGATCGCAGCCACGCGTCGGGGCTGCGTGATGTACATGTTGACGGTCGGGTCTTCATCCAGGATAAACTGCGGCACCGACGTACTCTTGCCGCAGCCCGTCTCGCCTTGGATGATCGTGAGCGGGTTTTTGCCCACATTGTTCAAAAGCTCGTCCTTGTGCGCAAAGACCGGCAGCGTGAAAATGAGCTTCTCAATATGCACCGGCTCACGCGGCGGCAACGGCTCGCGCGGCGGCATCGGCAGTGGCGGCGGGTTCAACTGCATCTGCTCGAGCTGCGTCGTCAGCGATGCTGTCGATGGTGGTGCAGAGGTTGTGGTCGTCTTGGGGCGGCGAAGGCGCTTGGCGAGCACCGACGGTAGCAGCGCACCTTTTGGCGCGAGCAGCGGCAGCGGCGGCGGCTGATACTCTTCGAAGAGCGGGGCCAGCATCCAGTAGGACCACGAACAGAGCTGGAGCGAGGTGACGTCGTCGCCGAAAAAGTGACGCGCGACCGCGTTGACGTGGTTCTTCGAGTACACTTGGGGCGTCACCAGCGACAGGATGGTCGAGAAGACACCGGCCGAGAAGAAGGCGTGCTCGTTGAGGCGCGGCGACAACCCAAGGATCTTGAGGTGATGGAGCTGCCAGTCGATCCAGTAGCGGTAGACGACCGAGGCCTCCATCTCGGCCGCGTTCGCCACGCCCACGAGCGGCACAATCGTCGCGTGCTTTTGCATCGTCTTGCACACGGCGGCCGTCAGCAGCAGCGGCAGCACGTACGTGTGGAGGCGCTCGCTCAGCGTTGGCACAAGCAGCGAGATCGCGTTGGCAACCACTTGGAGCTCAAAGTGGGTCTTGGCGCCCTTCCACGCCTGGAGCCGCGCCTGGAGCGCCGGGTGTTTTTCCAACAGAAACACGACGTTGCGCTGAAACGCCGTCGCCCGCGTCTCTTTCCCGGTGGCCAAGAGCCGGTGGATCGGGATCGGAGCTTTGCCGTCGCTGCTCAGCGGCGTCACGCTGCGCGAGCTGCCGTTGGCCAGAAACTCGATAACCGGCTGCGTTTGCCCGAGGGTGTGGTAGATGAGGCAGTTGGCGTCCATCGCGATCGGATGCGACTCGAGGGCGTCGAGGCGCGCGCTCAGGTAGCGCTCTTGGCAGTAGAGCACGTCCAGAGCAAAGTTCGGGTACATTTGCTTGTCGAGGAGCTTGATGGCCTTCTTCCACTCGGCGGGCGGAAGGCACGAGAGCCGCGTCGCAGCCGGGTACCGCGACAGGAGCTGGTCTTCTGCGCCGTAAAAGCTGTAGACGGCATAGACGTAGCTAAGCGCGGATGCGTTGCCTTTGAGGAAGAGCTGGAACGACGGGTCGTCGAGCCAGTTGGTCTCGCCAAATTGGCTCGCAAGCCACTCGACGCTCGCCTGCACGCCGAGGAACCCGTTCACGCGGCGCAGCGACGGCAGGTTGACAAGCGTCGCGAAATCAAAATGGCGCTCGAGGTAGGGAGTAAAGTCGTTGCCGCAGGCGAGCGCAACCTCAATGAGCTTGGTGGGCGCAACGCCGAGGCAGTCGGCCACCTTGGTTGCGCGGTAGACAAAGGCGGTCACGGTCTCGTCGTCCCTACATGCAGCATTATTACGGTGTTGGAATCCCATGCGAGAGAAGGAGTACCCAAAGGTGACATTCGGAAAAGGAATGTACGAGACGTTTTGCATGAGGAGGTAGTCCGAGTCTTGCGAGAGCACGGCAAACGCGAGGCCGTCACGCACCATCTTGCCGAGGGCCTCGTCGGCTTCGACGCTCGTCGTAATGAGCGAGCAGCCCGCATGTTGAATGCACCGCACCTAAGACACCATCGCATGAGCTCTCCTGCAATGACCACAGAATGGAGGGCGCTACCACAGTGGCACGGGCAAGGGGAAAGACCGCGTGGGTCTCGACAGCGATCTTGGCCGCAGCCGAGCTCTCGTCGACGCGGATCGTCGTCGGGTCCACGACCGCGGAGCTCTCGAGGACCTCGGTGGGCGACGCAAAGATACCGTCACGAACGATCGCGCTCTTCTCGGCGCGCTCGTCCGCCCGCTTCTCGTGGGTCACGTCCTTGATCGTGTTCAAGCACCCGGGCGGGTCGCGTACAAACTTGAGGCGGATCTTGGCGCGGAAGAACTTCTTCATCCAGTCCTGGACCCAGACGTACAGCGCACGCTGGTCGCCTATCCCGAGTTGCACCTCGTTAGCACCGCCATAGACCAAGCATGCTCGTCGTACCGCCGAGAAGCACCCAGCTCGCATCAAAGGGCGCAAACTGCTTGGAGACTTGCTCGCAGGCGTAGTGCAGGAACGAGTCGAGGTCGACGGCCAGCGTCTGCCCGCTCAGGTCCACGTCGGCGTCGCCGCAGTCGGCTTGGTTGGCGTGGCAGTACGACGTCAGGCCTCGGATCCCCATGCTGCGTCCGAATTGGATTGTCAATGGCCTCCAAAAGAACGAATTGGACCAATGGGCGTGCAGAACCTCTAGCAACCTATATCCAACGGTATTGAAACGAAGAGGTTTTCACTGCCCACGGGCACCTTCGTGGAAAGTGATCGTCGCTTCGCTTCGTCGCTGTCAAGCGAGAACCAGCACCGTGTTAGCTGAGTGAAGGTGCTTATCAAGCCAGAATATATAGCAGTACGCTTCCCTTGATGTAAAATATCAAGCTCTCTTATTTCCTTGGACGCGAGGGCTTCAACGCTCCTTTTCTGCGACGTGGAGCTGCACGAGGAGGTGCTTTTGCGGTCAAGTACGACGACCTCTGCAAGCTATTGTACGATGCGCAAACGGCTCGTTGCGCGCAATTCCAAGGGCAGAAACCCAATCATCTACATCTGGCAGATCCACGCAGTTCCTTGGATCGTTTACGATTCCAACTGCAGAACCAGAAAGTTGTGAGGCAAGAAACTGCTCGAGTGTGCTTCGGCCGTGTGACTATCCAGGTACCGGTAGCACTCCTGACATGAACGCGGAGTGTTGAGGTCAAGGCTTATTGCCTTGGTTATGGTCAACCTCCGGCGATCGATAGATGATAGATAGATAGATAGATAGTAGATAGTAGATAGTAGATAGAAAAACTGGATCTTAGATTTATGAAGCAATTATTGTTGTGGGTTTACCGGTCGTATCGTTGGTTGGGGTACGAGGATGACGGCGCCTTGTCATACGTGCCGCGCTGCGCGTGCATGTTGCGCAGACCGGCCTTGAGTGCGTCCATGTTGGGCGCCCGCGGGCCAAAGCCCGAGCCGATGGCACCACCTTGCGGCGGCGCCGCGTCAGTCTGGTACGAGGCCCCGCCTTGGTAGTCACGGCCGCCCTGGTAGCCGCCACGACCACCGCCTTGGTAGCCACCGCGACCGCCGCCTTGGTAGCCGCCGCGACCGCCGCCTTGGTAGCCACCACGGCCACCACCACCTTGGTAGTTGCTGCCACCCTGGTAGCCACCGCGACCACCGCCTTGGTAGCCACCGCGACCACCCTGGTAGCCACCACGACCACCCTGGTAGCCACCACGCCCGCCCGACGGCGCTTGATGCCGAAAGCCCGACGTCGGCGGTTGGCCCTGCTGGTCGTTGTTGCCGTTAGGGACGTAGAGAAAGTTGTTGTGGGTCGGGGTCCCCCACCCCTGCTGTCCTTGCGTCGGCTGGAAGCGGTTGTGGTTGCCGCCGCGCTGGTTGTTGCGGACGCTAATGGCCGTTCGGGCGGCGCCGGCCATGTCGACAATCGAAATGTTGGCATTGCCAAAGAAGGGCGGGCGGACTTCGCGGTCTTCCGCCGACAAGAGCACGGGCTCGTCTTCGACCGCGCCGGGCAGCAAGACCGAGAGGTGACGGTTCTTGGGCGGCGAGATGAACTCAAAGCTGAGGCACTTGTTGTTGCGGATGTCGAGCAGTTCGATCTTGGCCTTCTCAGGGCTCGGCACGATGCAGCCTTCGGGAAAGTAGCTCGGCTCGTGGTACGCCATGCTCCCCGCCATCTGGAACGTCGTCGGCACGAGCGCGACGGGCGAATTCGTCGGCGTCGGCAGCGGCTGGTCGGCGCTCGAATGGAAGAAAATGAGCTCCTTCCCAAAGCGCTCGTTGCGCTTCTTCTCCGCGTCCGTGAGCTTGGCGTTCGCCGGCGCCATCGCATCCAAGAGGCGCTTCTCGTCAATGAACGGAAGCAGCGCGATCCAGAGCCACGGCGCGGCCTTCCCGTTCGGGTCGAGCGGGATCTCTTCCGGGTAAAAGTCCAGAATCGGCGACTCCGGGTCCGTCATGAGCCATTGGTACGGCTTGGGAATCGCGTGCTTCGAGTCGGCGGGGAAGACGCCCATGAGCTGCTCAAATGGGCAGAACGGCTGCCCGAGATCAAACTTGATCTCGTATCGGTCAATGTTCTTGAGATCCGACGCAAACGGCGCGTAGTGGAACGGGTAAAACCACGTCCACGACACACAACCCGCATAGTAGTAGCGCATGACCCAGCACAGGCCTTCAATGTACGCCTGGAAGACGCGCTCGCGGCCGCCACCTAGTATCATCAATACATCGCTGGCCACAGGACCATACACACGTACCAATCTCAATGTCGTTGGCTTTGAGCTTGTCCTCGTAGTAACGGGTCTTCCAGCCCGGCTCGCCGAGACGCACGGTATCCTTGATCTCTTCGCGGTACTTTTCGAGCTGCGCTTGCTCCATGTGCTTGATGCGCTCCTTGAGCGCCTGCTTGGGCTCGAGCTGCTTGTACACCTCGTTCGACGGCGTGGCCACGCCGCGGCCGTCCTTGTGGCGCTTGACAGAGACCGCGTCGCCGCGGGCCGCCTCGGCAGCGACTTGGTCGCGCTTCTTGTACATCTCTCGGCGCGCTTGGAACTCGGCGTTGCGGCGCTCCTTCTCGATGCGGCGCTGGAAGATGGTTTCTTCGACCGTGCCGACCTCGGCGAGCAGCACGTCGGCGCGCGAGAGGTCGATTTCGCCGCCGGGGTTGGTGATGTACCCGCCGAGCGACGGAAGCAGCTTGGCGTACACGAGCAGGAGGTAGTCGACGGCGCCGTCGCGGATGTCCATGCACGGCAAGTGCGGCAGGAAATCGTTGCCGACAAAGAAGCAAAGAAACACAAAGTCGTCAATGATGCGCTCAAAGTCGTACGGAAAGGGCAGGGTGGCCGCGACCGGCTACACATGGCAGGATGAGCCAGAGGATCGCTATGGAAGGAGGAGGGGTGTACCTCGAACTCGATGCGGAGGTATTCGCGCAGCGTGCTAATGTGAAGGAACTGGAACGGCTTCAAGTGGGACGCGAGCATGGCCGCGTCGTGCTCGCCGTAATCGCCGGCCTTGCGCTTCCCCTTTAACGGGTCGTTGCCCGTGAGACGCGCCTTGGCCTCGATGGCCTCGTACTTGGCCTTGCCGAAGAGCACTTCTTCGCGAAGGACCGAGAAATGCGCCTCGTGGGTCGCGAGCCCAAGCATGATGAGATCGGCGTCGAGACCGTGCAGCACGTGGCGCAGGTTCGGGTCGTAGTCGGGCTGGCAGCGCTGGTCGCGGATGTACATGATGAGCTTGTGCTCGCCCTCACCCGGGACGCCGGCGTCGGAAAAGAGCACCTAGTCGGATGCGTGAGAAATCGCGGGATGCATCGATGCATATCGTAGATCGTACCTTGAGGCTCTTCCAGCCAGGACTCGAGTTGATGCGGTCGCGGACGTAGAAGCGCATGAACTTGGCGAGCTTGGCCATAAACTTGGTACCGGGCGTAATGACGTTCGAATCCCACGGCGTCTGCTTGGCCGGCACCTTGTGGCCGATGAGCGCCATGTACTCGCGGGCTTCAGCGTCGACTTCCTCGCGCTGGCGCGCTTCTTGCGCGGACCGGAAACGACGCGAGCGCTGCTGGTTCATCTTGGCACGCGGTGCAACACCATCGATGGCCATGTAGAGGAGGCGGCGCGGGCGCACGCAGGCCACGAGGCGGTCGACGTAGTCCATGAGGCGCATGAACATCTCTTCTTCGGTCTTGGGCTGCTCGCCCTCTTCCGGGTGCGCGCACGGGTGGATGATACCGTTCATGTCGATGTAGAGGTTGTCGAACTCGGTGCCATTGGGGTTCTCGGCCTCGATGTCGATGAGGCCGAAGCGGTCGCGGCCCTCGATCTTGGTCGGCGGGTCCTCGGTGGCGTAGACCACCGTCTTGGGGTACTTCATGCTGATCCAGCGGTAGAACGCGGGGACGCCCATGCTTCTTCCTCTCGCAAGCTCGCAGAATGAACCTCGCCCATGGTCGTGGTCGGAATATTAATATAGAAAGATTTAAATACATCTTGTCATTTGTATTATCATGCACCATTTGAGTTTAAAATGCATGGATTATGCCACGGAGCTTCAAATCGGACCCATTTTTAGCCAATCCACGCCCGAGCCGTTGTGGACCAACCAGTGGTGAGCTTTTCAGAATTCCAATGCTCTCTGAATTCGTATGTCATACTCCACGCTATATTGTGACGTGGCAGCACGAAAAAGCGAGTTCGTCGACCAGCGTGATGATGGGCAGTTGCATCATAATATCTCTACACCGATGAAAGGCTCTACCTACGACGATGTACATCTCACACGTGCATTAAACGTCGCCGGCCACGACCTCTTAAGGCGCATGGTTTCTTCCTTCGGCAGATCGCAACGGTGCCCGGAGACAGTCCACGAGACGCAGACAAGGGAGCGTTGTCAAGGCGGTCCAATGCTCCGTGTCCGCGCAGAGGTTATGACGGAATTTGATGCTAGTCTTCCATTATGTGGCTCGGGGCTTATTACTTTTAAAGCTAAGAGACGAGATGGAGCAACATCATCGTCAAATTATCAACTTGACAGCAGCATTTTTGAGTGTGGCAACTCTAGTACGGGGCGTACGACAATGCGTTGTAGGGCACAACGGTCACAAACTGGCGGGATCCTTGGTCGAGCGTCATCGTCGCATTGTGCGAGCCGTAGATCGTGAGCGCCAGGGGCGGGCCATAGTAGTTGGCGTACGTCAAGCCGAGGTACCACGCTGCCGCGTCGCTCCACGTCATGGCCGTGACGGTCGCGATACCGGCAAAGATCGTCTGCACTTGGGCCGTCAAGTTGGATGTCGAGTTGGCCGACGTGACGTTGAGGAGCGCGCCGACAAACGTCGACCCGATCGCAAACTTGACGTTGATATTGACATTGGCGATCGCGTTGACTTGGATCTTTTGCGTCGCAGTGTACGAGTACCGTGTGAGCATGCGCCCCGCCGCGACCGACGCCGTCGTCGACAGCAGCGGACACGCGTTGACCTCGTTGCACGCCATCACCTGCGCATACATGTACCACGCAGTGTGTGCGACGTTGGCCGTGCAGGTCGCGACCGCCGACGTGTACTCGATCGGCGTCTGCATCGCGCCGGTCGCCAGCGCCGTCGTAAAGTTGCCGGTCGTTTGATTCCCGACGCACGAGACGATCGACGCGCATGGCGTCGACATGGCGCACTGGGCTGCGAGGGACGCGCAGGCTTGGCACTTGGCTACACGATACAATAAGAACACGTGGCAGCACGACACGACACGTACTGCTGAGCGCCGAGGTCGGCAACATCACATTGTTGGTCTTGTACGGGAAACCAAACGCGGTGACGTTGAACGGCACGACTTTGTACAGCCAGCTCGCCGGCACGGACGATACCGTTGCGGTCCCACCATAGACTGTGATGGTCGGCAGCGGCGCAATGTAGTTGGTGTACGTGAGCGTGAGGGCCCACGACGTCGGGCCTGTGGCGACAGAAGAAGCGTTGACTTGGCCCATGCCACTAACCACCGCTTGTACAAATGCCGCGACCTCTGCAATTGGCGTTGCAAAGCTCACTGCGACATCGTTGTTCTGGGAGTTCCAAGACGTGAGGGTCAAAGTCACGCTAGAGGTCCTGTCCAAGTAGATCGTTTGGATCGCTGTCGTCGCCGTCGGTACAATCATGCGGTTGGCCAAGATGGACGCGATGGTCGCGGTGAGGCTCAGGTCGGCGGCGACGGGGCACGCGTTCCTCAGCAGACAGCTCATCGGAAAGGCAAAGTAAAACGCGTTCGCATTGAGTGGGTTGCCAAAGCAGATGGTCGCATTGGACGTCGCGTTCACAGACGACAGCGTCGGCGACGCTTGGAGAGCGTCAAGTGTCGACGCAATCAATGCGTTTGTGCGCCAGCAGCTCAGAATTTTGGCGCACTCTGCGTTGGCGGCGCAGATGCTAAATTGCGAAACGCAGAAACTGCATTTCTCTACACATGTCATGAGTCTCTCGTGTCCAAGATGACAAACGTACCGCTGAGCACGAGGGCCGAGTTGGTGACAGTCGTTGACGGCAACAACGACAACGTTTGGCTGCCGAGCCCGGCGCGCGTTACGGTACACGTATACAACGCCGTCGTGGCGTTTGGTAATGGCACCGGAATCGCAAGGTTCTTGAATGTCACTATTGTCTGCATGACGGAGCACGAGTTAACGCACGTAACCACGACAGCTGGGTCCAGAGAGACGGCCCAGGGCGACTGCCAAGAGACATTCCAAGCGCCGAGAACGGTAGATGTCTTCGTCACGATAAGCGAGGCGTTGAGCGTCGGGTACGAGATGGTCACGTTTCGCCCACTCTCTATCATGTTCACGGAAACGACGTGGACTTCGGGTGTCGTCGAGAGGACCACGTTCTTGGGCGACCCGTTGACCATAGTTGTGTTGAGTGTGCATTGGTAGTGGCTCATGCACGAGTAGTAGAGTGCAAAGGGCGTCATCGACTTGAGCGACGTGGTCGCAAACGGCGTTTGAGCTCCCAAGAGCACCGACGAAATCGACTTCGGCGACGAGGGCGAGACGTCGTAGAGCAGCGACGAGACGTTGACGTTGATGGCCGCCCGGAAGCTGGTCGACAGCGTTGCGCAGTCCGCATCCCAGCGACAGTTGGCTTGCAAGTACGCTTTGCACTGCTCGCAAACTAGGAAGAAGGTGAGTACGATACGATGCGAAGGCGCGTACCTGTGGTCATGACTTTCACCGGCGCACTTGGCATCGTCGCATTGACCATTGGCGTGTTGGTCGTTGGGCCCCCCGATGGAAACACGATGGAGCCATACATGGGCAGCGGCGACATGGTCATCGACGCCGGTGTCGCACCGTTGGCTTGGTACGGAAAACCAAACTTGACGGCACTGAGCGGCACGACCTGGTAGTTTTGCGACGGCGAATTTGCACTGATAACGGACGCCGTCACGGACGCCGCGGTGGCAAACGAGAGCGTTGGCAGGGGCCCGACGTAGTCGGCGTACACTATCCGAATGTACCACATCGTGTCGGCCTTTTGAAATGTCGCCATGTTGACGGTGCCCAATGCGCCAAAGACCGCTTGGAGCTGGCTCGAGAGCTGCGACGGCGACGAGTAGAGCGAAATATAGTCAATACGACCAAGGTGGGTGCCGAGGAGATGCACGTCGACGCTCACCAAGGCCGTGAGGGGGCCTGTGACGAGAATCATGTGCACACCGGGCGTCACCGAGATCACGAGACTCCGACCGGCCAAGATCTGGCTCAACGTCGCGTTCATCGGACACATGTTGGCTGCCAGACAGCTCGACCTCACGAGGTACGTAGCCGCCCTCGCCAGTGGCACATTCGCAAGACACGACGAGACGTTGATACTCCACGTTGAATAGAGCCCAGCGGATGCGACGGAGAAGGACCCATTGCGCACTTGCTCCGTCGCGTTGTCTGCGTCCGCACAGGGCAGCACATTCCCGCACCCAAACCGGTTGTAGTTGCAATCGTAAATACGCTGCATACAGCGGGTGCACGTCGCTAGACAGAATATGAGTACCCTGGATCCGATCGTGCTACGTACGGCTCTCGACTATTCCCGGGCTCCAAGACACCGATTGGAACGAGAGGTTTGGTGTTCCTGTGTACGGCTTGGTCACGGATACGGAAGTTCCGTCCGAGACGACGGTTGGTAGCGACAGCGGCAGGATCGAGGACGGGAATATCAATCTCAAGTCGCACGCTCCCCACCACGGACAGGAGAGAGACGCTGTCGGCGGCATCGATACGTTCCACTGCGACGCCAGCGCGTAGGTGATATCGGCCGACGACATGGAGCTGCTCATGTTCAGTGTCACGTCGAGTGCTGGGTACGTCACCGAGAGGTTGAAGCTGGCCGACGTGTTGTAGATCGTCACGACGTGAATTTCGTCTCTGGGAAAGATTATGGGCGCGTCGAAAGCACCGGGAGGCACCTTGACCAGTGGGCACCAATCTCGCGCGAGGCACGAAAGGTACAGCCCCAAGACGGACGCTGCGCGCAACGGGGTCGACGCTGCTACGCTGCGCGAAAGGATAGCCGAGAGGTCGGCGCTACGGGTTTGGGCAAATGCGTCGCCGTCAAGTAGTTGGTTGATATCGCGCTGGAAGTCGGTCAGGAGTTGAAGACAACTCGGATCCGGACCGCAATTCGTCTGCAAGAATGCATTGCACTGGTCGCACACTACACCGGAGATGAGGCCTGTAGTAGAGTTTCTTGAGATCGTACTGGAGGTCATGTTGTTGGCCATGAACATCGTCGCGTTGGTCACCAGCGCCATTGTCATTTTCGCATTGGGCACCGTCGCATTGACCATTGACGTGTTGGTCGTTTGGCCCCCCGATGGAAACACGATAGAGCCGTACATGGGCAGCGGCGTCGGCGACGTAGTCATCGGGGCTGGTGTCGGTGCCGCACCGTTGGCTTGGTATGGAAACCCGAACTTGACGGCACTGAGCGGCACGACCTCGTAGTATTGCGACGGGTGCTGTGTATTGACAAGAGACGCTGACAATAACCCCGACGTGGCAATCGTGATCGTCGGCAGCGGTCCGGTGTAGTTGTAGTACGATATCTGGATGTACCACATCGTGTTGGTTTCTTGAGAGGTCCAGAGATCGACGGTGCCAAAAGAGACATCGACGGTGCCAAAAGATTTGAACATTGCTTGGAGCTGGTCCGCGAGCACGGACGACGACGAGCCCAGGAGGCGGAATTCGAGGCTCACTGTTGCCAGAAAATAGTTGCCTCCAGAGACGAAATATTTCTCATCTCCCGAGACGAGAATCTTCTGGTAGCCGGGCGTCACTGCGGTCACGAGACTCCGATCGGCCAAAATCTGACTCAACGTCGCTCCCACCGGACACTTGTTGGTCGCATAGCAGCTCGACGCAGCGAGGTATGGGGCCGCCGCCGCCAGTGACACATTTGTCAGACATGACGAGACGTTCAAACTACGCGTAGCGTAGAGCCCGGCGGTCGTGGGGGAGAAGGGCCCGTTGCGCATTTGCTGCGTCGCTTTGCCATTCTCCACACACCACTGCACAGCGTGGCAACCGAACGGGCTGAGGTTGCAGGCTGCAATGTGCTGTTGGCAGCGGTTGCACGCCGCTAGACACAAGGTGAGACCTCTGGCATCAATCGCTGGATCAACGTACGGCTCTGGACAATCTCAACGCTCGAGTCCTGCACCGTGGTATTGGCAGGGATGAGCTGGATTACTGGGGACGCCGTCTGCTGGTACGTATAATTGGCTTGGTTTGAGGCGATGTCTGGTAGCGACAGCGGCAGGATCGAGTGCGGAAAGTACATGTCAAGTAGCACGGTACCGTATTCAAGCAGTCGAAATACGCAGTCGGCCTCATCGATGCGTTCCACTGCGACGCCAGCGCATAGCATAGTCGAATGAAATGGCGGTGCTGTCGATATACATGGTCACGTTGAGAGCCGGGTACGTCAGCGTCAGGTTGAACTTGGCTGATGTGTTGTAGATCATCACCATGTGCATTTCTTCGCTCGCATCAAGGATGGGCACGACCGGCGCACCGGGTGGCATCTTGACCAGCGGGCACCGATACAACGAGAGGCACGAGTGGTAGAGCCCAAAGACAGACACTGCACGCGCCGGTGTTCCCGCCGGCACGCTGCGCGCGATGATGTCCGAGACATCGACAGAGCTACCGTTGCCGGCGTTGATGAGGTTGAGGACCGTTTGGTTTATGTTGCGCTGGAAGTTGGTCATGAGCTGTTGACAGCTCGGATCCGGACCGCAGTACTTGTGCAAGAACGCACGGCACTGGTCGCACACTACACACAACATAAGTCTTCTGGTTGAAACACTCGATAACGTACTCGTTGACATGTTGTTGGGCATGAAGATGTCCATGGACGGTGGCCTGATTGCTGACGCTTGGAAGAACTTGAGGTCGTACGGTACAACCTCCATCGCGACCGACGCGTTCGGCGAAGAGACGCGGACGTAGTCGTAGTTGTGGTAGACTTGGATCGTCGGCAGCGGACCCACAAAGTTTTCGACGTGAGCTCGAGCGTCCAGAGGTTCGACATGGACGACGTGTACGAGTACGCCGAGATGGACGAGGAAAAGTTGCTCAGAAACCAAAGCTGCGACTCGAGCGACGTGTATCCATAGCCATAGGCACCGACGTTGTAGAGAGCACCCACCGTCATGCCCTTGACCGAAAACTATATCGGATGGATTAGCCATCATCCTTGAATGAAGAGACAACGTACCCAGAGCGTCACGCTCTCGTACGTCTGCATCTGGATCATCTGCGTCGCGTAGTTGGACTGCAGCGAGACCATGCGGGTCGAGCTCACATCCTCCGTGATCGGGCACGACGTGTTCATGTAGCAGCGCAGTGCCGACGTGAACTGCTGCCAGCCCACGTACGAGACGCCCAGCTTGTCATAGCACGACGAAATGGTGGACGTGAGGTTTGCAGTGTAGCCCATGGGGTACGAGGCACTGAGCAAAATGGACGGGTTGTCGAAGATCGCCGACGAGTTGGCCATGCACGTAAACGCCATTGAGCAATCAGAGCTGTGGCGACAGGCCTCCATCTTGTCCGAACACGCTTGGCACGCCGCTA